TCCTTTGCTTCATAGGAATTCACTTAGAAAATATTTCTTAGTAAAAGTAGGCGAGTCATAAAAACAAATCTGTTTGTGAAGATGCAGTAGCTACACAGCACATTCACACAAGGGCAAAAAATGGGTTAACGTCTGCTCAGTTAACATCTGAATCTCCAGAGTCCCGACTTCCTGTGGAAATACACAGGAAATAATTACCATGGGCTTCAAACATTCTCCAAATCCCTTCGATTGTGTGTCTGTGTGTGTGCGTGTGTGTGTCAGTCAAATCATCTGCATACCATAAATATCATCTGTCATCTCTTATTAATATCAACATGCACGTGTGTGACACAAACCCATATCAACAACAGATCCTTTAATCCACACTATTATAAGTAGTTAAAGGAGCTGTTTGTCATTTTTAGAGCTGCCTATGAGGCAGACTACGATTAACAAGAAAACACTGACCAGCTCCTTCTCCAAAATAACCCCACCCCACTGTTGAAACTAGACGTGCCTCATGAGTTGCTGCTTCTTAAAAAAAAGGTAATTTCTGGGCCAGTAAGTATGTACACAGAAACCAGAAATGGGGTGGAACTGATTCTGAGGCAGCATACCGTTTCACTGTTTACCAACTGACATATACGTACCTCTTTACTTCTCATATAAAATGAGTACCAGCACGGTAGATGTTAAGTAACATTAACTAACAAGCTTACGTTTGCAATTAAAAGAGTTCATAGTTTATGTATCTTAGCGAGCTAGCTGGCTTGCTGGGCAACCTTGTAGTTTAACAATACTAATAAAAATGATTAAACTAGCTAGTTATCAGAAAAGTTTCTATCTAACACTAAATAGGCACCTAGCTAACAAGCTTACGTTGATCAAAATAGTGTATGCTTTATAGACCTAGGGAGAACTCAATTGATAATATACCTAATAATAATAATTATTATTATTATTATAATAACAACCTAATAAAGATAATATAAGAAGCTTCTCTTTTTATTTTATCTCAAAATCACTTAGGAACGAACCCGAAGTGTGCCATCTAGCCAATGTACTCAAGTGAACGTAAAAAAGTTGCTACTTTTAAATGTAATCAAGTCAAAAGGAAATGTTTTACTTTTTTGTCATGTTTTCATGTGAAAAGTAACTTTTATTACTTATCTAAAACTGTAAGAAGATCATTTTAAACCACCTGTACTATTTTAAAACACCTGATACCATCCAGTCTCAGTAAGATTTCTAATCATAGGCATGACTAGTGCCATGTAATTTGCTAATGAATTAATCAGAAGTAAAATACCATGTAGATAACTACCATTAGCTGCATTTTGACTTGCTGCCTAGCCACTTACTTTAACTACTGGAACTGAAGCTAGTCTAACCTGGCACTGGCAACGCAAACATACCTCAACATGCAGATTAGATGGAGTTCATGCATTCTTGAGAGGTAAAGGAGATGCCTCAGTTTATACGAGTCTTTGTGTGCTCCTGCATATTGTAATATTTTCTGAGTTATAGCCAAAGCAAGAGGCTTATTCATATCCTCAAGTGGCTTTAATGGTTTTATTCAGATGCACACAGGTAGCTATAGCACTAACGCAGCACGAGAAGGTCACTGCGGATGACGAATTGGCACGATTCTTGATAGTTTTTTCTACACTGATGAATTGGATGCGATACTGAAATGACTGGATGCTAAACTGAGCCTATTCGATTGATGTATTGCGTACAGACATTGGCTGGATGAGAGAAGAAGAGAACTTCGAAATTTTGAATTTTGAAGGTCTAGATAAAATCTAAGCAGTAAAAAGTATGTTTCTTTTTTTCTGGAAATGTAATTAAGTAGGAGTACCTGTGTGCAATTTCAATAATGCTCAAGTAAAGAATAATTACACCGAAATAGTACTTAAGTACAGGAATGAAGTACAATTACTCAATATATGGTCATATATAGGTATTGTCCACCCCTGGCCATAAGCCCAGTGCGGTAGTGACAGAGATACAGTTCTCATGAGACACAGAGAAAAGACTGCCGTGTCACATGAAATAAAACTGTATCAATAAACAAGCTTCCTGGAAAACTTGCACACACACAGACATACACACCAGCTGCTGCCTTCCTTTTGATAAAGAGGAGAGAGAGTTAGCTCTTCAGCAGCTATTTTGTTCAGCACATGTGCAGCACAGCACATTCAGCACATCCATCTGTTACAGTTCATATAATAACACTGCAGTTAGACTGCATTCACCAGGACTGAGTTCTTTGTTGGTCTTCGAGGCCAGCTACAGATCCTCAATATTTTAACAACACTCGCAGTCATTTACCTTTTTCTGTCCTTTCGTTTTTCAGCTTTAAAACTGAACATTGGCCATAAAAGTAGAACACGCACATATGCACACAAGTACAAGTAAGAATGTATTTAAAGGAACCAGGGTGTGTAATAGGAGTGTGTGGAGAATGGCTTACCTGCACATAGTAAGTGCCTTTGGATTGGGCGTACATCATCAAAAAGCAGTAATCCAAGTTCTGCTTGGTTCGCCATCTGGAAGAGCAACATAGACAAGGCTTTAAAAAAGTGTGTGCAAGCCCAAGATTAAAAACAGGTGCATACAGTTCACAGACGAGCACAATGAACGACTGTGTATTTATCATGTGTTTAGTCCATAATAAATTAATTTCATATACACTGAGTAAAGACTAGGATAAACTAAACACACATTCATTCACTATAAATTCACTTTTCTTTCTAAAGCATTCCACAAGCATACAGACTTCAGAGTTCAGAGTCATACATACAGTAACAGATCATTTCACTAATCTCTTTCAAATACAAACCATTATGAATTCCCACACTCACTATGATTTTGGTTTGCGCTGGTACGCTATAAGACAGCTCCGCCTCTAATAACTGTAACCTTATTAAAATACAATCAGTGGGAATGCTTATTTTTTTGAGACACATCTGGATCAGTGATACACTATATTACCAAAAGTATTCGGTCACCTGCCTTGACTCACATATGAACTTAAGTGCCATCCCATTCCTAACCCATAGGGTTCAATATGATATCGCTCCACCTTTTGCAGCTATTACAGCTTCAACTCTTCTGGGAAGGCTGTCCACAAGGTTGAGGAGTGTGTTTATAGGAATTTTTGACCATTCTTCCAAAAGCGCATTGGTGAGGTCACACACTGATGTTGGTCGAGAAGGCCTGGCTCTCAGTCTCCGCTCTAATTCATCCCAAAGGTGTTCTATCGGGTTCAGGTCAGGA